TGAGCAGCTTTGTGATATCACAAAGCCCGGAAACCAAACGCTGTAGTCCAAACGAGCCGTTTGCTGTAGTTCTTGAAAATTGATTTTTTTAAAAACTAAATATCTCCCTTTGGAGTGAACTTTGATATTTGTAACTTTCTAGATATTTTTTATGCCCAAACATACACACTGACTAAAATTAAAAAGTGAAAAAGCATAATTGGACCCCTTTAAAAACTCCTAAAGTGAATTGTATCAAACTTAAGGCCATAAAAAGTTTTAAATACGTTAAATGGTATAAGAAATGTCTTGAATATAATTTCAAGAGGTCTTACAGTTGGGGACGGAAAGACAAAAGTCGCGAAACCACTGGATTAAACTTCAAAAGGCAATGATGTAATTGAATAAATATGAGTGCTGCATGTTTCAATTCAAAACGTGGCGCGGATGTCTTTATTTGAATGTATCTGAAGGGAACCGACTGTCCTCAGAAACGTTGTTGGCATTTTAATTTCATTTGACCTATAATTCCTGATAAAGCAGAGTTTATGAGCCCTTTGTGTGCAGCCGTTACCGGGGAAACCACAATATTTCAGCACTCCTAAAGCGCCACCTCGTGGCAGAGAATTAATTTGCATTTCCAACAAGCCTTTCTTGCTGTTAGTGGTCCGATCAATGCAAATATCAACTCATGTTTTTATGCAGCAAACACAGAGTTGTTAATGAGAAAGAAGTTAATGTGCCTTATAAAAATCTAAACAATTAAGACTAAATGCGTGATAATTTATCAAATTAATAATTTAAATGCGTGATTTATCCCTTTTCATAAAAATTGTCTAAAGGCTGAAATGCTATTGTATAAGATTTTTGTTTTTGTGAAAACCTGTCTCTGAATTGTAAATCATGTAATTTTATGGCTCAATACTGTATGTTACCATAGACATTGTCCAACCCCACTCATAATGTGTTCATTTTACTTGTGCGGCTCTTAAAATGGGTCATAAATTGTCTTAAATTTATTTTTGAAAAATTCTGTAGATGCCCTCTAAATAGTGAAATAAAATTCCTTCCTTCATATTTGTTGATATTTGTGTATTGAAAATATTTTTTGATTGACATTTAAACTTATCTGATTTTCTATATTAAAAAAAAAAAAAGGTATTTTTTTATTTGGGCTAGTTAAATTAATTTTTGGGCTACCAAAATCTAAAGAGTACCTGCCCGAAGGGCTACCAGGGATTTCTTAATTTTGCGAGCCCTGACATGATTACATGGAACAATTAATTTGTTTATCCTAATTTAATTGTGTTTAGCAAAGCACGGTTTTTAAGAATAATCAAACTGAATTAATATAAAACAGTTCAAGTTTGTGAAAAGGCTAAAGTTCACCCAAAATTTACTCAACCTCATGTTGTTTTAAATGTGCATTACTTACTTTCTTCTGTGAAGCACAAAAGAAGATATTTTAAAGAATGTATCGAGTTAAAGTCAATGAGGACTAAAGCAATATTGGACCTTCACTGTATGTGACATTTTTCAAAATATCTTCTTATATGTTTCACATAAAAAAGATTTATTTACCCTCATGGTAAGTAAATGATAACTTAATTTATTTTTGAGTAAAGTGTCCCTTTAAAAGAGCAAATTGGTTTAGACTGCAGCAATATTAAATAAACCAAAATTACATTGATATATTTTCATGTTTTAAGTTTATTCTTATAGGCTGTGTTGAGGGGGCCTCCAAGTTTTTTGCACTTGCAAATCTCCGTTACGCCACTGACTCTGAGTGACCCGAGAGGTCAGGAGCGTTTCAGCTGACTGTAGAAATGTGTCCGGCGGGTGTTTCACTGGCACTGGTCTCGTTGGCTGCTGCTCCGGAGTGCTCTGACCTCTGTATACATGACCTCTGCGTGACTCTGTTGCCCTCCGGTGTCATTGCAATGGCTGCTGAAAGCCCTGCACGAGTGCTCCATGTGACCCGGCTTGGGGTGTACAGCTCCAGGGTGAACATTCACTCACAAACACAGACAGCAGCCAACGAAACTGCTGACAACACTGTGATGTGATGACACAAACACACATGCAAAAACTTACATGAACACATACATCGAACTCTGTTAGGACACTACTGTTTTAATAGGATGACAAGAGGAGGATGAAACAAGATTGTCAGTGTTGCGAGACAGATTTGAACCCACGTACTGCAGCTCACTTTGTCAAGAGTGCATTTCCCAAACTGGCATTCGTGAGGAACTGCAAGGGGTTTGCAAGTTGATGAAAAGCTAAGAAGTAATGGAATAATGACAATGTAAAATTAAAATATTAAATGTGACCCCGGACCACAAAACCAGTCTTAAGTCGCTGGGGTATAACAGTGCTGTGAAAAGGATTTTGCCCCCTTCCTGTTTTTTTCCTTTTCACACCACTGTATTTGTAGCAATAGCTAAAAATATATTGTATGGGTCAAAATTATAGATTTTTCTTTTATGCCAAAAATCATTAGGACATTAAGTAAAGATCATGTTCCATGAAGATATTTTGTAAATTTCCTACTGTAAATGCTGATTAGTAATATGCATTGCTAAGGACTTCATTTGGACAACTTTAAAGGCGATTTTCTCAATATTTAGATTTTTTTGCACCCTCAGATTCCAGATTTTCAAATAGTTGTATCTCGGCCAAATATTGTCCTATCCTAACAAACCATACATCAATGGAAAGCTTAGTTATTCAACTTTCAGATGATGTATAAATAATTTAATAATTGTAAAATTTCTAATAATTGACCCTTATGACTGGTTTTGTGGTCCATGGTCACAAATGTGAAATAAAATGTAAAACCTCTGGGAGACTTTAAATATTTAGGTCTAAGGGGTTTAACTGACAAAAATATTTGGGAATCCCTGCTCTAGGCTATTACAATATGAATAGCTTATTTAACATGTTCAGTAGTTTGAGGCATAAAACTGGCTTGTTCTGTTTTATATAAGTGAATATCTGCTCACTTCAAACCTTCATTCATTGGAAACGCTGACCTTACAGTTTCAGAGGAGCACTATTTATCTGAAGGACACACTAGAGAAAAAAACTTTATCCCCTTTTCTCCCTTTGTCCTTTGTGTTTTTTTCCACTCTATTGATTCTCTTTCTCTCAAGGTTTCTCTTTGTATTTCATATGCTCTCTGTTATCAGATATATGGTTTGTAATCGAAGGTAAATAGTGAATGTAACTGCTAGATCTAGTCAGTGGGATAAATTGTTTCTGGACCTCAATAATTTTAGATGCGGTCACATTTATCATTGTTCGTCAAATTGTTCATGGTCAAAATCAAGAAATTTCAATTGTATTCTGTGCAGTCTGGAATTTATATTTTTGCATCGGCTTCAAGTCAAATTTGTGGTGTTTACCAACAGAAAGCAGTGCAGTTTGAAATTGACTTCATAATATATTGCTGCACTATTGATTTATACATTTTCACTGTATTGACAAAAAACATTTTCAAGACATTTTTCTAAATATCTTATTTTGTGTTTCACAGAAGAAAGTCAGTCAAACAGGTTTGAAACGTCCCTGTATAAATAATGACAGATTGTTCATTTTTGGGTGAACTGTGCCTTTAAGAGGTAGGGGATCGAAACCATTATTACCTCAGTATAAAAGCTATACAAGTCCCGCCATGACAGAAAAAGCGCAGCTGGAGTAACTGTAACCACATCAGAATTTAGTCTGTAGGTGAGAGACTGCAGAGACTTTGACAGAGTGTTCATCCAAGAGTGCTTTGAAGCTTCATTGAAGCCTGTGGTGTGCACACACACACACACACACACACAAACAAACACACACTCCTGTCTAACCACTGCAACATTTTGACAGATGCAAAAAAGACACATCGATGTCTTCTTTTCTCACTCTGTCACGCACACGCACACATGCACCAGTTCGGTCGGTAATAGATTGACTGCGCAGGTCACGTCCTGCATAAGAATAGCTGCCAGCCCCCCCTCCTCCCTCATCTGTGCTAATCTGCTTCTCCTGTGGAGAGATAAAGACCCAAATTCTTCCTCTCATCTTCCTGCCGCTCAATTTTGTCCTCTAATGATGTCCTCTCTCGTTCTCCTTCTCCCTCTTTCCGCCCACTCTCTTTATTTCCACTTAAACGACTAGAGGAATAAGGCAGGATATTGATTTACGTGTGCATAGATTTACTCACGTGTATGCAGAGAGTGATGAGTGTTCATTTGAGTGGAGCATCCATTTGACTTGTTTTATATAACATGTAATGGAGTTTGCAATGCATTTAATTTACATAATGTGACATATTTGCACCTTAAAGTGGGAAATTTTGCAGGATGGAACTTACATGTTGTCAGGTTGTCTGTATGTGTGAATAAGTTAAAGAGACGGATCACTAGATAATAACATGGAAACAGAAAATAAACGTTTTCTTTCCCGGCTGAATGTGAAACTCTTTTGTCTTTCTGTTTCTGGAGTGTTTTAGGGGGGTCGCTGGCATGAGAAATCCCTGCTGCTCCTGCTGTCTTTGTAGTTCAGAGCGTTCTGTTCTGTTCCACATATCACACCTCAAATAAAGCATGAGAGAGCAGATAAAAACCCTCTGTGAGACTGTATTGCACAGACGTGTCCTCCCGTCAGGTCTCTTAAAGGCTTGTGTTTGGATCTGTGGATGCGGGTTTGCCATACATAGTTTTTTTTTGACAGATTTGGACCAGTTTACAGATTTTAGTCATTGCTTTTGTTAAAATAATCTCTAAAACTAACATGAAAACTCTGTCATTCATTAAAATCAGCAGGATGTTGAATGGCTTTGAATATTGTGTTGGACAACAGAAGGCCTTTGAGTTAAAAAGGTTAAGAACCAGTGACTTACAAAATACATGTACCATCTTAACCATAAATGTAACTGTGAATGAATGTGGACATTTCACAGGCTTCTTCTGTATTGTTTCACAGTTTCAGTCTGTCCTTTATGTTCCTGAACACAGTTTGAATAATCTTGTCAGGTCATTCAGTGGCTTTGAACTGGCTTGTTTGTTCAAAGCAGACAGCGTTGGTATCCCACCGCAGTAACTTTAGATCCGTATTTAACGATGGCTGCTGCAGCTGAGGATGTTGTTCCACATGAGCTGTGTTAAAGCGTTGGAGTCATTGGCAGCGTGAACCAAACCGCCCACAGCAGATGCTGATTGTAGAGCAATACTTGCTTAATGATTGAAGTGGGGGGAAATTATTAAAGAAAGGTTTCCTGTACATCGGCAAGACAAAGAACGCCTCCTCAAATGCCCCCTCACACACCTTTTTGGGCAATAATCATTATATTTCAAGAGCTTCACTTGAGCTCCACAGTGTGAAAAAAATAGTTGTTAGCAGCCACATAAAAAATAAAATTTTAACGGCAAAATAAACCATCAGCTGGTTGGAGGCATTGGTTGACTATTGAACAAATTATCATGCAGTTGGAGAGAGGTAATCATCAAAACAGTAATAAATGTTCACCTAATTATAATGTGACCCACCCAACTTTTCAGAATGTGCCTTGGCTAAAATATGCATTGTGGTTTGCATCGAGAGAGGTTTCGGTTTGCTAAACATCCACTGACGGATATTGAGCGAAGATTTGATTTTGATCTATATAATCTCTGTATATGTGAAGCAAGTGTATAATTGTTTGTTACCTTTGTGTGCATGTAGACTTCTTGAAGAGGCAGTTGGAGCAGTACGTGCGGAAGCTGGAGGTTCCTGTCAGGGTGGTACGGATGGAGCAGCGCTCGGGCCTGATTCGCGCTCGGTTGAAGGGGGCGTCCATCTCCACAGGTCAGGTGATTACCTTCCTGGATGCCCACTGTGAATGCACCACCGGCTGGCTAGAGCCTCTGCTCACTCGCATCAAACTTGACAAGTAAGTACTACTACTTTTAAGTTGCAACACTTTGAAAATGTCAACATTGTAACCCTAGGATCCAAAGCTAGTTTTGTTTAGTTTGATTGTTTCTCAATAGAGAAAGCTATTTTCTCCCCTAGTATGTGCTGCTGGATACACTGGATATGTGATGTAATAGTATGTGGGATCTATTTTTGTGAATAAAATTGTGAAATTTTTTATTTTAATGATCATTTAAATGTGTAGATTTGCTTAGCTATAATTTACCTATGTACTGTAAGGTATGTCTTTATAAATAAATAATGAATATATTTTCTTTTGGTGGGGGTTTAGGGTTAGGGTCAAGGTGTTTTAAGGCTAACTACTAGTCTACTACTACTATAGACTAATTACTAGTCTATAATAATTATTATTACCTTAATATAAAATCATTTACATAATCTACACCAGTGTTTCCCAACCGGGGTGCCGTCTGTCGAAAGCAGGGGTGCCGTGTAAAAAATCCCCGCGACTAAAAAAAAGGTTGGGAAACACTTATCTACACAATATACTGTAATTGCATATTAAGATAAGAAAAAAAATACGATACAAAATGGTTGAATTGAATGATAAATAAAGAAAAAAACTGCTCACAAACTGCGTATGCATTAAGTAGGAGGATAAATTTCTAAAGACAGGAAAACTCATTCACAACAAATAACATCATATCTGTGTGTGTGTGTGTGTGTGTGTGTTTTGGTCTGCACCAATGGAACACTAACCAGATGTGATGTTCTTCAGTCTGGTGTCTCTTCAAAACCTAGGGTGCATGTTTGAAGATACAATAGACACTGACTAATATGTCACTCACAAATGTTATGAGTGTGAGGTATTTATTTGCGATGTTGCAAGAAATTTTTTTTATATTGTTTTTGTTAGTAGTTGGGAAATAGCATTCCACTAGTGGATTGATAGCTCACACATACATGCGGTCACAAACACAAAAAATTTTTACACCCAGCACATGCCTTTCATTTCTGCAATTTGTGGTGGAACATAAAAACAAACCAGTCATTTTCGCACACACTTTCTTTTCCGCCCTTTTGGCATGTGGGTTTGCAGAGAGCGGAGCGATCAATAGCTTTTAGAGTTTTTTTCCCCAGGCCTTTATTACATTTTTGAACTTGGGTTTCACCTTAGGCTGCATTTGTGTCTGAAACGGAGAACATGTAGGGTATAGAAACATGAGCTCACTTTCATCTGATTTTGATTCTTTGAAGATATATGCGGAGTATTTCTCCCCTCTTCTAAACATGCGCACATGCCCACATACACATGCTGATTCTCTGTGTTGTCTTGCCTTGGGCGGCCTGTTGGGGCATCATTAGCAGATGATGCTTCAGTCTGCTGAATTTAGGAAAGGAAAGTGTGCCTGCGGTGCCTGAGTGTGTGTGCGCGATCCATCCTCATCGCTTGGGTTAGCATCACAGTGGGCTGCTTGGTGCTGATTGATGACACAAGTTTAGCGAGACGTCCCCTCTGATTTGTGTCTGCATCTGTTTGAGTAAAGAGCGGTGTGTCTGAGCATGTGCCAGCTGAATTCAAAATAAAAAAGGGACATTCTGTGGCGGACAAAACTCATTCTTTCATGTAGATGAGGTCAAAGCAGTGAAAGTGTATTGCTAATATCACTTGTGTGTGTGTTTCACAGGAAAACCGTAGTGTGTCCCATCATTGACGTGATCAGCGATGACACGTTTGAGTACATGGCAGGCTCTGATATGACATATGGTGGCTTCAACTGGAAGCTGAACTTCCGCTGGTATCCGGTACCACAGAGAGAGATGGATCGCAGAAAAGGAGACAGAACACTGCCTGTCAGGTAACACACTTAAATGCTTATCATGCAGTTAGACAAGTGAATCAGTATTAAATAGCTGTGATAAACCTTACCATGTCCAATAAAAGTCAAAGGTCCATAGTAGAATCCACTACCGTACTAGTCTTAAAGGGATAGTTCACCTAAAAATGAAGGTTCTGTTTACTCACCCTGGTGTCATTCCAAACATTGGTGCTTTTATGTTTTCCATGAAACGAAAAGGAAAATAAGGACAAATTCTCAAAAAAGCACCATAAAAGTAGTCTACACAACTTGTGTTAAAGGGGTCATATGATGCTATTTTAAAGATCATTATTTTGTGTATTTGGTGTAACAGAATATGTTGACATACTTTAATGTTCAAAAAACACATTATTTTTCAAATACTGTACTTTATTGTAGGTCCTCTATGCCCCGCCTCTCTTAAACACGTCATTTTCAACAAAGCCCCCTCCTTTGACAAGCGCAGTCTGCTCTGATTGGCCAGCTGACCCTGTGCATTGTGATTGGCCGAACACCACAAGCACGCATCGGAAATGTGACGCCCCTTACCATAATCGCGAGCTTCAAGCTTTCAAAGTAAATATCAAGACATTGACGTAGATATTTCAATATAGGGAGCATGTTAGAACGAGCCCTTTTAGGTAGGCGTGGCTGACTCTTAACTTTTATAAAGAATATCTCTTTGGATTTGAGACTTTAGTCTTTGCAACTTTACAGATCTTCTTTATGCGCCAAGAGCTTGTAACACTTCAAAGAAAAAGGAAAACTTGAAATCGCATCATATGACCCCTTTAAATGATGACAGACATTTATATTGTAACAATTAAATACTATTTCAAATAAATGTAGGTTTCGATAAAAATATTAAGGGATAGTTCACCCCAAAATTCAAATGTTGTCATTAATTACTCACCCTCATGTCGTTTCAAACCTGTAAGACCTTCGTTCATCCTCGGAACACAAATGAAGATATTTTTGGCCCTGCAAAGACAGCAATAGCCGCTTTTCCACTGTCGGGCCAGTGCGAGCCAGTGCTTTAAATGGCCCGGGCGGGGCTAATAGCCTCGGACCTGTAGTACCGAGGCCAAAATCACGCTGCGTTTCCACCGTCAGGCCAGAAGCTCCGTTGCGCTTCACTAAAACCCGCCCTTTACACGCCTCTCAGGAACACCGTCACGCAACCCTATCATTTCACCAACAAAGAGAAGTTATCATAAAACTAATCAGAAATAAGTCATTGGAACTAGCGCGATCACAAAACGAACATGATTAAAGCTTTTGTTTGCATTGCAAGATTTCAATCCAAAAGTATCGATGTTTTACAATAATAAGTGATACATTGATCATAATTAATTAATTTATCAGGATTGAAAATTAGTCACACAGAAATAAAGCGGTATGAACATAGCTTACCTACTTATTCAGTCGAGTCTGTTTCTGTTTATTTGTAGTCACATTTCTATATTTTTATAAAAGCTCCTGAACAAAAAACATTATTATATTTTTATCACATACGCGGAGCTAAACTCTCGAGACGAGACTTATGACAGATAAAATATGTTACTAAGTAAATACACAATTGTGATAGAGAATAAGAAGCTGACATCTGATTTCTTCAAGCGGTCGTATTTAACATGTTTACTATGGTAAAGTTAATGGCTAGCGTATGCATAGTCTTTTGCATCGCTTATAAATATGAATGCCTTGTATGGTGATCATAATCCACATCGGATCAAGTTATTTCAAACACTCGCTGCTGTCTGAAAGTGAGTTTTGAGCTCAACTTATTTTAAAAGTATTTAATGGTGGTGTTATAGCTGTTAACTTTATGAAATGGTCTGCGGCGCTGACGCTCTCCAGACGCGGAGAAACTCCGCCTTTGTTCGTAACCACTCCTCTAGCCCCAGCTGGCCCGCTTTGGCCCAAGGTTTCAGGCCAAAAAATCCGGGCCGTTGGCTCCGAGGAAGCTCCGATGAGGCACGATCAAGCCCCGGAAGTGACAGTGGAAACGCGACTTGCCCTGGCACGCACTAGCACGCCCGCTTTTGGCCCGACAGTGGAAACGCGGCTAATGAAACTACCATGTTCAAGGCCCAGAAAGGTAGTAAGGACATCGTTAAAATAGTCTATGTGACATCCGTGGTTCAACCTTAATTGTACGAAGCTATGAGAATACTTTTTGTGCGCAAAGAAAACAAAACATTTCTTCTCTTCCATGTCAGTCTTCGACACGCATTCACAAGAGTACCACAACGCACTTGCGTTGTCTATGCAGGGTCAGAAAGCTCTCGCATTTCATCAAAAATATCTTCATTTTTGTTACGGAGATGAATGAAGGTGTTACAGGTTTGGAACGACATGAGGGTGAGTAATTAAAGCTGTAGTCCGTAAGTTTTGCCTCTTTGTCGCCATCTCTGTTTGAAAACCTGGAATTGCAGCTGTGTGCCGAATTATCTAGCTTGCGGGGGTTGTGCGGCGGCACAGCTCCAGCGCGGATGAATCTAATGTTCTGAAGAGTATGTGTGGCATTCAGTCACCGCACCGGTGTGGATATTTACTGTACTTCGCAATCACAGATTCTAGCCTACGTCTAGGAATATGACCCAAATAAGAATTTTCACTGTATATTGCCATCTGAACAAGTAAGTAACAAGTCTGCCACGTTTGTTCTGACCAACTGAGGAAAAAAGCATTACCGTAAATCTCGCTACCAATGGTGATTTAATCTAAAGATCGGTTAGCTCATATCACATCAAACCGTTCAAATTATTATTATTGTTATACAATATTATTATTATACTTTAGTGTGTCGATTTCAATTTCTGTACAGTCTAATCTAATTGTCATACTCTTCGAATTTCATATTAAGAAATTATTTTAACCCAAAAAGCAAATGATGCTCCCTTCGAACTGGTTTTCTTTCAAAAACAAATCTTTGTAATCCCAGGCTATCTGTAATCAGAAGCACATTTATAACTGGAATATAATTTAATTTCATTCACATGTGTTTCATAAACACATAATCCTTTATGGATTACAATCCGCCATCAAAATGATACATTTAATTAGTCTAGCTGCTGTGAGAAAAGGCTATAAACGATCGGCCACCTGCTGGATCCTCACATGCGACAGCCTAGTAGCCGGGACAACTTCTGTATGTTTACAGACGTGACGTAATAACGCAGTGCCATGCTCGAATTTCCCACGAAAACCTACCCGTACCATTCAAATTAGAAAACATTATTATAAGCTAACCGTTGTGAATCGGGCTAAAGTAAGGTGATAGTTTTGAACACTGGCTGGTTATGTACTTGCTCAAATATTGATTTCTGATCATTTTTAACCAAAAAAAGTTACGGACTGCAGCTTTAATGACAGAATTTTCATTTTTGGGTGAACTATCCCTTTAAGCAGCACAGCTGTTTTCAACATTGATGATATCACACACACAGTCACAGGAATAAATTCCATTTTAAAATGCATTAAAATAGAAAATTGATATTTTAAACTAATACTATTTCACAATATTACCGTTCTTGCTGCGTTTTGGATAAAATAAATGCAGCCTTGGTGAGCATAAGAGACTATTGCATTGAAAATATAATCTCCTTTTTCAGACTGTGTCAGCAATGTACTACTACTGTTATAAATGTACTGTTGTCCTGCTTTTAGTATTACTGTTGTATATCTTTATTGTCACATATGTTCAGTTTCCACATTTTTGAACAAAGTAGTGCAATAGCCACTGCGTGTAGAGTACATTCGTATTCCATTTCGAACACAGCTTTTTTTCAGATGACTAATTTTTCTTCCCTTTTGAGAGCTTTTAATGTAAGAGTTAGGCATGTAAACATTAAGTGAATAGAGGTAGAAATGTCACAAGCCAGATTTGAACTCAAATTGCCCGCATGAGCGCCACGACACAATGAATCACAGAGTATGTGTGTTAAACAGTAGGCAATGACTCCAATTTGTAAAGGCCTTTTAAATGTAAATTCAACATGTCGGTTTTTTTTCCTTTCTAAAAGGTATTTTACATGCAACTTAAAGCTGCGGAATATAGAAGTGTTTCTCTAGCCCTGCAGCTAAACACTGCAGTTAACACAAAGACGAGGGGAGTTTTAATCCACACCAGCACTTTGCTCACCTCATAACTACAGGAACAGAGTAGCTCTTAGCCTTCTACTGCTTGATTTCTTCACAGATCCTGTTTTTCAGAGCTGCACGTTGTTTTTATCAGAACACTCTGACGCCACTCCGCTCTCTGTTTTTGTATTTTTTCCCCTCACGACCCCTCGTTTACTTCGTCTCCTTTTTTACTTCAGAGCCTGGTTCTCTGCATGAAAACAACTTGAGAGCATAACAACAACAGGTTCTTACTTGAGGAAAACATGACTGTGAATGAGACGTGCTGCAGGGGATGGATGGAAGGAAAACAGGAAAGAACAGAGAGCGCCTGCTGAGGGAAATGGACGAGCACGAGTGAAAGATATTTAAAGAAGGATATGTTGTTGCCAAAATAGACGCATGTAAACATGTCATTTCTACTGAAGATCTCATTCCCCTGAGTGACACACAACGGGCTTGTTTGTAACCGAGTGAACAGGAGAGGAAGAGCTGCTTTAATAAGATATGATCATTCCCCTGAAGGGCCTGTTTGCAATTAAACTGTGTTTTTTTGTCTTTGCATCATCTATCAGGACCCCCACTATGGCAGGTGGTCTCTTCTCCATAGACAGAGGTTATTTCCAGGAGATTGGCACATATGATGCAGGCATGGACATTTGGGGAGGAGAGAACCTGGAGATGTCCTTCAGGGTCAGTCTCACTGCTAATATTATAATATTCAACCACCACAATTCTACTTGTGCTTATATAGTGCATATAAAGTTATTGATGATTTTTCATACTTTGAGAACTAACATTTGTCCTTGTTTATCAGATTTGGCAATGCGGGGGGACGCTTGAGATCGTCACGTGTTCTCACGTCGGTCACGTGTTCCGTAAGGCGACGCCGTACACGTTCCCTGGTGGAACTGGGCAGATCATCAACAAAAACAACAGGCGGCTGGCAGAGGTCTGGATGGATGAGTTCAAGAACTTCTTCTACATCATCTCACCTGGTCAGTCACGTTTACATGCTACACATCTGCACCCTAAACAGATACACAGTAAAGTTTAAAAAAACAGAAACACAAACACTACACACAATTTCAGTTTACATAGGCAAGTGCAAAACTCAAATAGTGAAATGGTTACAATATATACACAAACAATATAGACATATGGGCATTATATACAGTATATAATGTATAACATAATGCAATATATAATTTACAAGATTTGTTATAAGAAAAATAGTATACAGTATACAATATGTACAATATATAATTTACAATATATAATACACTACCTGTCAAAATGTTTTGAACAGTAAGGTTTTTAATGTTTTTATCATGTTTTATTATTTATAAAAGTCTCTTGTGCTCACCAAGCTTGCATTTATTTGATCCTATATATTCCTATTTGAATATATTTTAAAATGTAATTTATTCCTGTGATTTCAAAGCTGAATTTTTAGCATCATTACTCCAGTCCCATGATCCTTCAGAAATCATTCTAATATTTGCTGCTCAAAAAACTGTTAGTAGAATTTTTTTCAGGTTTCTTTGATGAATAGAAAGTTCAGAAGAACAGCATTTATCTGAAATAGAAGTCTTTTGTAACATTATAAATGTCTTTATCATCAGTTTTGATCAATTTAAAGCATTTTTGCTAAATTAAAGTATTAATTTCTATAACCCCCCCCCCCAATTCACTGACTCCAAGCTTTTGAATGGTATAGTGTATAATGTAACAAAAGCTTTTTATTTCAGATAAATGCTGATCGTTGGATCTTTATATTCATCAAAGAATCCTGAAAAAAATGTACTCAACTTTTTTAAATATTGATAAAAAAAAATAAAAAAATGTTTCTTGAACAGCAGATCAGCATATTAGAATGATTTCTGAAGAATCATGTGACACTGAAGACTGGAGTAATGATGCTGAAAATGTAGCTTTGATCACAGGAATACATTTAATTTTAAATTATATTCAAAAAGAAAGCAGTTATTTTAAATAGTAAAAATATTTCACAATATTACTGCTTTGCTTGCTGTATTTTGGATCAAATAAATGCAGGCTTGGTAAACAGAAGATAATTCTTTAAAAAAACATTACAAATATTTATCTTCAAAAACTTTTGACTGGTAGTGTACATAATACAATATATAATGTACAGTATAGTCATACTTCATGCAGGTATTTGAATGCAGACACAAATGTTTGTAAATAGTTCCCATTACTTCTATGCATACTAGCATTACTGTGGAAGTAACCAAACCTATTTTTGAGGAAAACAATAATTACTAGGGATGCTCAATTATCATAAAATCATGATAAAAACTTTTTTGGTCAATATTGAGATTATTTAACACGATTAAGGGTGAGCAATTTTCCCAAAATGTTATACAGGTATCACAGTATTTCAGTAAAAAGTCAATTTATTTCACAATAATGACATACATTATTATAGATTATGATAGAAATTTCACAATTCTCAGTTCCACAATTTCTATGCCAGAGCAAAAAAAAAAAAAAAAAAAACTAATACATGGCTAATGTAAGTAAAAAGTCTTCTAAATTATTTTGAAGACAAGTAAACTAACTGTTTTTAATATCAAGCATGTCCCACAGTAAAGCAACAACAATTATTTTACAACAATTATGGAGGGGCAAAAGAGCACTGCTGTTAATAAAAGGAGTGGGCTGGATTTATAACACAAGACACAATGTGGGCATCATTGCCAAATGGAATGCAGCACAATAATCGTTTTATCCCGATAATCTTGTTTTCATAATCGTTTTAAGCCAAAAAAAAAGAAAAATTATTTGCCATTGTGGCAAGGCTAAGAATGTAACATATTCTTGTTTTATGTTATGAATTGCACTTTGACTCATTTCACCCATACAACACATGCAATCAGTGTTTTGGGAGTCACACATAGTTCAAGATTATAGTAGGACACAATATTGCCTATTTTTGAAATAATATTTCCTTATCTTGTCTCTCAGTCTCGTCTATTTGCCTTTCTCTGTCTTGGTGTCTTTCTATGACTGTCTCTCTATCTCTGTGTCTGTCTCTTTAATGGGGTGTGTGTGTATTATCAGCGCTCTTGGGCACTCGAGCCGTATTGACTCAGAAGGAGATGTTGGATAATAGATATTAATGTCACTGTCAATAGTGTCCAATGCTGCTCAGAGCTATCTGTGTGACTGTGTGCGTATTGTGTTATTCTTTCCCTCTACACAAATGCCTTTGTATACTCTCTCCTTATTGTTACGGCTGAAAGGCAAGCATCTGGACAAAAAACCCTAACCTTCAGTGTCAAACTTCAGCCTGTAACTTGTCCTTTAGCATTTGTGCTACAAACATGAATGATACCACAAGTCATGACGCTTGTGGAGGAGAAGTGTTTTATTACACTTGTAAGCGACCAGGCTTGCAGTGTTTTGTCTGGGGAACAATACAACAGTTACACTGAAGTAGAGCTCTAAACCATATCCAGCACAGTACACAGTTGTTTGTCTTTTGAAGAAAATATTCTTTACAAAATAGTGAATCTTTTAATCTCACAATTTTAGTATGCATTTGAGTGGCCGAAAAATACCAAAGATTTGGATAAAATTTTTCTTTAAAGATTTGATAAATATTATAATGCATGTCTTTCACCCGGTTTTATTGTGTTATTTATATACTATTATAGTATTTATAAATCTGATTTATAATATTTAGATGATTTTTGTGCTTTGATATATTTTAAGATTTAAAGTTTTAGTAATTTTGGTATGTACTTTAATAATTTTTATACGTTTTTTTATTTTTCTATTTAGCTTTATTTTAGTAATGTTAGTATTTCATATTTAACTAATTTAATAGTTAAACTGTAAAATGTTCATTTAAGCTTTGCTATAAGTTCTCGTGTACTATTTGCATCTTATTTCAGCTTTAATTCATTTAACAAAAGTGGTTTTAATCGTTTGTTTTTGTTAACAATAGCAATACTGTTTTACCTTTTCTTTATTATCATTGACAAAATCAAAAAAGTCTTCATTAAAAAACATAATTGGCAGTAATTTTGTTGACAAGATTAATAGTGCCACTTATCAAACACCCCAAATGCCCTACAAACCACTTAGCACCTTAACCACCCACAGCATCCTAGAAAATCGAATTTTTTTTTAACCATTTTGCATTCTCATGTGTTTGTTTCAGGTGTGACGAAAGTGGATTATGGAGACATCTCATCCAGAACATCACTGAGACAGAGACTGCAGTGTAAGCCGTTCTCCTGGTACCTAGAAAATGTCTACCCAGACTCCCAGATACCACGCCACTACTACTCTCTGGGAGAGGTCTGTATCACTTTCTCTCTCACACACACACACACTCATGCTGATAGCAAAAGGGAAATCACTGCATAGTGTGATAAACACATTTCTGTATGTATGTGTGTGTTAAAGAAGCGCAGGTGTGAATTAGCATGGGGCGTTCTTTTTCGCAGGGTTGACTGTGTCACAGGAATTTATTGTTTTTTTTTAAAATTCCAGTCACTGTGTTCAGGAAATGAGAGACATTTATTCTCTCCTAGTCTGCTCTCCCTCTGTCATCGTCATGTTTCCTGTTCCGTCTCTCACCCTTTCGTTCCATCTGTCCATCGCTGCCTCTCTTTTTCAGACATTCTTATGAATAAAACATGTGTGTCATCTCTGATGTCTGAAACTCGCTCAGAACGGAGGCTGTCTGTTCTTCTGACTGGTTAAGGCTCTATCTTCCTTGTGCTGTCTATGGTTCGTTCCCTTTTAGCTCATCTTTGTCTCTCCTCGCCACTGATGGTGACATTGTAAGGTGTAAGGCAGGACACAGACAGAATAATACATTGAGAGCAAGTGACGTCACAATAATGTTCCATGTGTAGCCAGTAAAAAGTTTGGGGTTGAAGTTTTTGAAAGAACTCTCTTATGTTCAACATGGCTGCATTTATTTCTTCAAAAATACAGTACAGTAAAAACACTAATATTGTAAAATATTATTACAAATATTTTTTAAATATAATTTATTCCTGTGGTGGCAAAGCTGAATTTTCAGCAGACATTACTCCAGGCTTCAGTGTCACATGATCCTTCAGAAATCATTCTAATATTGCTATTTATTGTCAATGTTGAAAACAGTTATGCTGCGTAATATTTTTGTGGAAACCGTGATACTTTTTTCAGGATTCTTTGATCAATTGAATGTTCAGAAGAACAGGATGAATTTGACTTTCGTTTGATCAATGTAATGCATCCTTGCTAAATAAAAGTATTTATTTCTTTTAACAAAAAGTCTTACGGAGCCCAAGCTTTTGAACAGTAGTGCATGAAAAGGTTTAATAGCTAGCACAATAAGATAAAGCAGTAAGAGAGGCTGGGTAAAATCCCAAGATCGATCTTTCACTCCATGCCTATTTTTGTATCTGACTGAAAATTTATTAGTGCGCTGCTTCCTGTCATCGCATTCTGCTGTACTAACTCACTTAGCTTCGTAGTGTGGACCCTTATGTTTATTTTTTATTTAATATTTTTGCAGAAGATATTTTTGTGTGAAGAAGCATTAGCAGAGAGAGAATTGGCATTATAAGTGAAAATAGCCTACTGAATCATAATCAGATCAAATTGAATCAGAATCGGAATCTTAACCATTTAAGAGCTGATGAATCTGAATTACAGTCATTTTGAATCTAATTAGTTGTAAAATATTTGGAAATACCCAACCCTTTGAGGGGCTGTGCATTACAATGATTATAACAGAACTGTTAAAACAGCCAAGTATTAAATCAGCATTTGTATGAAACACTGGCTAAATATAATAGCAGTAAAGCTGTTAAATGTGATTGTCATGGTTTAAGCCCCACTGATCTTGACGTTTGTGTAACTCAGTGTTTTGGATGAAAGCAGTGAGCTGTCTTTCCCTTCATCTGCTGTTTTTCATCAAGTACACATTTACGTGTGTGTTTGTGTGTTTGATTGGCACAGTTGTCTCTTAGTTCGTCGATACTCCCCCCTGGTGTGCGATAAGCTTTGGGTAATTAACCATGTTGGACACTCAGACAGAGACGTGACTGTGTTTATTCATGCAGGAGAGCTGCTTGAGTGTGTCTAATCTATTTGTGTGATCTGTCTGATTGCAGATCCGTAATGTTGAGACTAACCAGTGTCTGGATAACATGGCCAGGAAAGAGAATGAAAAAGTGGGCATTTTCAACTGCCATGGCATGGGTGGAAACCAGGTCATCTTTCTCACTTTTAAAACACAAACTTGGTTAGAGTAATCGTGTTGATGCTTGACATGTACGACACTGATGTATTGTGACCTTTTCCGCCCACTCAGGTTTTCTCGTACACAGCCAATAAAGAGATCCGAACTGATGACCTCTGTTTGGATGTGTCTAAACTCAATGGTCCGGTTATGATGCTCAAGTGCCATCACTTGAAAGGCAACCAGCTCTGGGAATATGACCCTGTGGTAAGTGTATAAATGTGAAACAGATCACAAAATCTAATTTACAGTAATGCTCTTACTGTTCTATGGGGCAGGGCGTTACACCAGGATAAATGTTAAAATACACAATACTTAAATCTTGCTAATCTTGTCTGTGTAAAGTTACATCCAAAGTTACATGCTTCTGGAGGGCTACCTTCCTGCAGACTTCAATTTCAACCCTGCTCCAACATTCTTGCCAAGTAATCCTGAAGATCTTAATTGGTTGGTTGGCACGTTCAGGTTCGTTTGATTAGGATTTGAGCTAAAATCTGCAGGATAGTGGTCCTCCAGAAGCAGGGTTGGCTTCCCCCGGTGAAAAGCCTTGCTTGATGAGCATAAAGATACCTAAAAGAGTTGTTAAAAGCACTGATTTTGACAACTTTACTATTGAGATACACATTTTTGTATATATTGTACAGAAGAATTAATGTGTTTTAACGAAAATACAAGCTTATTCTTTTAATCTGTTCTTTAATGCCTTCCCCCCTCGACTTCCACTGCAAGTCACATATTGTAAATATATGTTTTTACAAACTGACAAGTGAAAATTGCTGCTTGTGGTAATTAAGAACATGCTCCAGATGTTGTTGATAGAGCTTAATTTGTTTTGAATCCAAAATACTCCCTGAACATGTTTTATCCCGGACGAGCCCCCAGTCCAATTCTGTCCAATCCTGCTCCTGGAGGATTACCTTCCTGCAGCTCTTCTCCAGCACACCTGCCTAGATGTTTCTAGTAATCCTGAAGACCTTGATTAGCTGTTTAAGACTATCTATAAAGTTTAAGACTGTCTATAATTAGAGTAGACCAGGGGTGTTCAATCCTACTCCTGGAGGGTCACTTTCCTACAGAGTTTAGCCCCAACACACCTGCCTGGAAGTTTCCAGTGATCCTGAAGACCTTTATTACCTGGCTCAAGTGTGATTAATTCGGGATAGAGCTGAACTCTTGCAGGATTGGACACCTCTGGAGTAAGAGCAAAACTCAGTAGGTCCTCAAGAAGATCCAACATCAAGTGATATCAAGGTGAAACATTACAATTATGAATGAACATTATCACTTAACGACATCTAGGTGATGACAAAGGTGGTGAAACGTGTAAAACAATGTGCCAAACCATAATTTTGCACATTTTGCACCGTTCTCATGCATGCATGCAGATGTGCTTTTGACTCTTGATTTTCACCTCAAGGGTCGCAATGGCCTCATATATGTCATATAACATCAAAACCAGCCAGCTAACCCTTTAAAGCTCTCTGTCTGCAGGGTGCGCACTCATCCTTCTCTTGTAATGTATGTGCATGCACATACTGTACACCCCATGGCTTCCCTTATAAACACTGTTGAAGGGATGCTAGTTTAGTAAGATTAAATCACCTCTCTGTCAATCTTAAAAGTACATCACAACGCACCTTCAGGCCTGAGGAGAGTGAATTAGCCAAGGGGAGGAAAGAGGAAGATTGCTTTTTGCAATCCTCTGCTGTTGGCTTAAAGAGATGCCTGTTACTCCAAAGCCTCCTTCTCCTCCCCCTTCTCGCCCCAGATTCGAAGCCCCCACCACGTTGGCCCGGTGCCCGGAGAGACGGAAGGCTGCACAGAATAGAGAACTCGAGCAGAGACTTTCCACTGTCAGATAAAGGTTCTGTTTTTCTCGTGGGGAGAGAGAGACAGGCAGACAGAGTGGAAGGAAAGGAGATTCACAGTGAGCACGATCAGGAAATATCTTGCCAACGAGAGCACCTCTCCTGCATGCATTACCATACATTACCTTCGCAAGCTCATCGACGTGTGCGTGCGGCCTCACACCTTACACTGTGTGTCTTATAGGTTCTACCGCTATCCTAATTGTATCTGTGCGGCTTAATGCTTCCCGCTAGACTGAAACTCTAGAGCACTCAGCTCACCTAAGGCCCATTACACACACTCACATACATGCTCCACTGTAAAGCAATCCCTGTGCATCGACAATTTGTCTCTGCCCTGGAGCGCACAGGTTGTCCAGTCGTGGCATACTGCTGGAGTGGCATACTGCTTACTATCAGTAATATTGTATTACACTATGAATACTGAGCACAGGAATACCTGGATGACCTACTACATTTGCCTGAATGAGCATGAATCTAGCTCACAGCATGGGATCCCACAATGCAGTGCGCTCAACTTGAACTTGCTTTTCTATTGTGACAAATTAAGCATAATATCAGACATGATCTTTAACTCTCCCTTTGCGCATTTGAATGGACACCCAAACATTGAGACATTTAAAGAAAATTGGTCTAAAATACAAAGTAATAGCAATTATAGAGCTCAATGGTGATGTCTTGTTTTTCAGATTTTTACCTGCCATTTTCATATTTTTTTAAAAAAATTTCATAAAATGTTAGATTTTGCTTTTCATAAAATGTTTAGATTGTTAAAATTCAGTTTTGTAATTATTATGTAGATATTAATAATGTAGATTTAAATCAAATGTAATTATTTTATTGAGAATCCCTAAACATATGAATACTTTTATTGTCAGTCCTCAGTCTCTCATTCTGAGAAGTGCGCGCACACACACACACACACACACACACAATATATATATACTTTTATTCTCAGCCCCCTCTCTCTCACTCTGAGAGGTGCGCGCACACACACACACACACACACACAATATATATATATATATATATATATATATATAAACTTTTTCTTGATGTCCTTCCTCATTTGTTAAAAATGGTAAATAAATAAATAAATCTAGAATTTTTACAATATTTATTATAATTTTTTCTTTAATTATTTTACTTTTGTATTACTCTTTTTTTGTTTCTTTTTTTTTTTTTAGGAATATACACTACAGTAATTATACAGTAGAGTACGTAGTTAAACAAATGTGGCATTTTGTGACAACTGCTGGGTGATGATAATTGGATGCCATTTGTGGAACTTAACATACAGCATAGTGAGATCAATGTGTATTATATAGCAATATATATAGCAACAATTCTGTTCTAAACATAGCCGGTGTTTTTGCTCTGTCTCACCCACAATGCATGTCTGTCTCTCTCTTCCTGCAGAAGCTGAGCCTGGTACACGTGAACAGTAATCAGTGTTTGGATAAGGCGTCTGAAGATGACAGTCAGGTGCCCAGCGTCAAGGACTGCACCGGGAACCGCTCGCAGCAGTGGCTCCTCCGCAACGTCACACTGCCCGAGATATTCTGAGCTCGCACACGGACGGACAGATGGACAGACTCTCACACCGTCGCTGATGGAGAGAACGTGAGAGAAAGGACTGCTTTCCTCTCAATCCTGGTGGTCTGCCTTCAAATGATCTCAAAGAACAGAACCGCATACAGTATGTATATGAATCTCCCCATCACTCCACCTTTGCAGAGGAAAAGAACGAACGATGGAGAGAAAGACTCGTGGAGAAAGAAACTTGAGTTTGATGCCGTTATCCTCCTCGTTCGAGGGGCAGCGGGCATTTTGGTTATGTTTACGAGAACGCCTCCCTTTTAGAGTATCAGTGTGTGTGTTTAGGTGTGTGTGCGTGACGGGAATGCGCGAGTCAGTGTTTTCCACAGGAGTTTCGCCCTTTTTTAAGTTAAATATTTTTCAAGCCTTGTAGAAATGAAGGGTATCTAGCACATGAAGGAGAGGCTGAAGTGTGTCTGAGTGCATGTGAGATTTCAAGTGTGTCACATCAGGATGGATCTTCTGTCCATGGACGTAACAGTGGTCTTCTATCTGTTTGAAGCAGGGGCTCCCCCTACTGGCCACCGACACATACTGACCTGTCTATAAATCTTCATCTCAGCCAGTGGACTACCTACAATCAATCACCGTATAGAGCTATAATCAATGAAAAAAGGATGACTGTCTGACCAGGATGTTTTTCATATCATCAGTGTTCATGTAACTTTTTTTACACCGGAGATTGATACTTTTTTTTTTGGTTTCTGCATTTTTGAGTGCCACATACAAGCACTTTTCACTTGTTTGGTGTTGTTTTTTATGTCAAGTCTGTCTCTTAAAGATATTATTGTAATTTAACACGCAATTTCAGGACAGTCCTGAACTCGCCCCAAATTTTTGCCTTCCTTTGGGTTCCAGCCCTTCAGCTGACACGGTTTACCCATAAGCACGTAGGTTGATCGGGAAGAGATGGATCATCTTCTGTCATATCATCCAACTGTACAAGGGCTCGGTCTCAGTGTACATGCACGAGAAAGAACTCTTTCGTCTGATATCTTTCTTTGTTTACGTTCACTTTAAATTGTTACTGACTTTTGTGTAAAATTTCTTTAATTCATCACCTCATTTGGCATCTGAAGGTGAAAGAAGGCTGCTTGCCACATTTCAACTGATGTCTGATAGCCTAAAGAGATTGTCCTGCATTTCAGATTCATGAGATTTCATTCTTCTGATTTTATTTTCAAATGGTCTGAGATTTCATTTGAGCTGTGATGGTTGAAGATGGTTGGAAAAGGAAATTGAACCCCTCTGTTTTGAGATTTGTCACATGGAATCAGGATTTATTTTTTTCCCCCTTGAAAACTCTTGACCCTGTCTAAATACTTTAAATGATCTGTACCCTTTTGTCCTAAAAGTGTCACTGTGTACCAAAAAATTTATTCTAAATTGTGAGATTCTAGATTCTAAAACAAGTTTCAAAATAAAGATAAGAAAAGGTCAAATGTGAGTTTCTAAATTGTATGATTGTAAATGCACATTAGAGATTCTTAAAAAGATTCAAGACTCTATAGATTCAAAATTTTAAATCTCTAAATATAGATTCTAGATTCTAAAAAAGATTCTAAATATAGTCTACATTCTGAAAAAAAAAAAGATTCTAAGTAATGATTGTAAATTGTGGGATTCTGAATTGTAAGACTAATAAATACAGATTCTAAATTGTAAATAAAAGGGCAGTTTCCTTGTAGACTCAGAGGATGGGTGAGGATCTTGCGAGTATTTGGACAGGGCCTCAAGATCATCTGTAGAGATGTGTGAGTGTGAACAAGCGTGTGTGTTTATATTTGTCAAAGGGATGTCTTTTGTTTTTGTCTTTTTTTTGTTGAATTGATGAGGGTCTGGCCTGCTGATTGGTGGGTTAGAGAGCCCTGTGTTGAGATGATCCACAGGCTGGAGAAATAAACCACAGAAAGTTTACAGTCCAACTTCTCTATTAGCTTGTATGATCTTTGTTCATGTGCACACATGCAGTTTCATGGTTAAAAAAGTTTTATTGAGAACTGTGCAGTTGGTTTTAGTTCCTCGGCAGTGGTTAATAGGTTTTTGTTGCACAATGGGGCACCATGCAAAGCAGGGTTGTTAAGGTATTGTGCTGGATTTTGTACTCTCAGGCTTAAACATTATCAAAATTATCATAACTTTTATAATTCTTGTGCAAGTGCAAGGTTCAAGTTTCATAGTTAGAGCTTTGCCTTGCTTTGGTTTATCGCTTGGTGGCACAGTAGATACTCAACACTAAGATCTCAGACCCTTGCACTCACAAGACTGAAGTACTGACAAGAACACTTGCAGTTACTCTAATGATCTAATTAGCCAGTGTTTGCCTTAGAGAAATAAAATTGGAGAAAGTCATTAAAATATATTGTATTTCATCTTTACTTGAAAGATTACTGTGAACATATTTTTTAGGGTTTTTTTTAACCAGGATATATTTCCAAGTATATTTCACCAAAGCATTGCAAGTTGTTGAAAATAAATTCGCACATTTTTAGTTTAGCAAATGAGTGATAAATGCTGTTTATAATAAATTACTAGAGGAAACCTTACTTTTGATAAACAGTATACCCCATTTCTGAGCATGAACGTCTGGTTTCCCAGAATCACTTAATTTTTTATTTAAAAAATTGTTCTCAGCAGAGCTTCACTTGAGTTTCGAGGCAGAATATACAGTGGGTACGGAAAGTATTCAGACCCCCTTAAATTTTTCACTCTTTGTTATATTGCAGCCATTTGCTAAAATCATTTAAGTTATTTTTTTTTCCTACTAATTGGCTGACGGAGACTGAGTGGTGTAGGGTTTGGAATGAAAGTTCATGTGGCGCTCATGCTATGCCTTTAAAATGTACAGTAATTTCAGCATACAATAATTTACCACGCATTGTGTATTTTCTTATATTGGTCATGCAATTCACATGCTAATATATCAGGTTTCATAATGAGTGAGCAGTATGTTATTTATATAATTGCTGTTATTCAATTTAAAAAATGCTTTGAAGTGTCAACTTTGAGTACGTAGGAACTTGACTGCAGATCTGTTAGGAATTTAGAAAAGCATTAGGCTATTTCATTTTTAAACCGTTACTTCATTTAAATTAGTTTTTTCTTTTGATGTGATAAAAATAGGGGGAAAAAATGGAACACTGGAACCTTACAAACAAAAATGAAAGCCTCACAAACCAAAGCTGCACGTCTACTGCTCATTTATCAGATGACAGACTCAGCGATCAGGCCGCACACTCGGCCTTCTCACATTCGCTCACATTGCACCTGAGATAGAGAGGTAGTCAATAGCCCGGTTCAGTGTAATTGAGCAAAAGTGAATGGCAATCGATTTCAATCCCACCTCAATCCTTTCTGAGGTGGCGCAATTTATAGCTCTCTGATATGACAGTGTGAAGAATGGCAGAGAAAGTGTGAACTCCTCAGAGGGCATCTGAGGCCAAAGGTAACATTGTATGCAAATAAATCTCGAGCTCATGGTCATTGTTAACTAATAACAGTTAATTCCGGTCCTCAAATTAGATTATTTAAAGGGGTCATGAAAAACTGAAAAATCAAAATTGCAAGAGGTCATTGTGCTAATATTTTTTTGCAAGTTTCAGAACTATAAACTTTCTTGTTAGTCTTAAAACCGCTAGAATGCTCTACTCTATGATATGATAGCGTGGATAAGCACCACCTCCGCAGAAGAAGATCAACGCCTGCTCCTACATCACTGCCTATTTAGCCCCGCCCACCGATTCGCACGTGTAGTAGGTAATGACAACAGCAACGAACGCAGGTCTACGCAGAAACCAAAACGACACATTTTATTTAATAAACTTTTGATTTCATGAAGTTAAAGACCACTTCAGTAAGGACTCAAGCCTTTGTTCACTTCACTTTACCGCAAATTTGTTTACAAACAAACTGAAATATGATGCTGTGCCGACTATATTGGATTCGACAGTAATGTCGCAACACAAGTGTGAGTAATTTTTTTTATTGTGATCACTATTGCTTTGTCTGTTTTTAACCTAAATCACAGCACCATCCATCTGTGAAGGGTTAGCCAATCATAGCAGTGGGCGTTTACTTCCGAGGGGGGGTGGGGGTTTAAAAACAGGAGAGAAAATCGCTTATTACTTCTAAATTATGCTTTTGATGTAAAAATCTTGATAACATTATAAGTGGACCTCCGAGAACAGTACAAAATAATAATCAAAAAGGCCGTTCATGATCCCTTTAACAGCTCTGGGACTTTTACTATTTATATCACTCTGCTTGTATTGAGATACGTCCAGCTGCAGACCCAATGCGCCATACATGACAGCAATTTTAGACCACCATTTTACAGCAGTCAGTCCAGATACCTAAAACTCAAAGAAAAGTTATATTGATGGATGTATAATGTGCACTTTGAACGTCAATTATTTCAACATGACTGAAAAGGGTTTAAAGTGTAAGTAATAGTGATTAAAGGGATAGTTCACCCAAAAATGAAAATTTGATGTTTATCTGCTTACCCCCAGGGCATCCAAGATGTAGGTGACTTTGTTTCTTCAGTAGAACACATATGATTTTTAACTTTAACCGTTGCAGTCTATCAGTCGTATAATGCATGGCAATGGTAACAAAATCTATGAGAGTAAAAAAAAACATGCACAGACAAATTCAAATTAAACCCTGCGGCTCGTGACGACACATTGATGTCCTAAGACACGAAACGTTCAGTTTGTACCAGAAACCAAACAGTATTTATATAATTTTTTACCTCTAATACAACACTATGTCCAACTGTCTTTGGGCGCGCACACGGCATCCGGTGTGTGAGGTGCGCTCTGGCGTAGTTTACGCAAGCGCCGGAAGTGATCTCTTGCGCGTATACATCACTCATTGTTTACACAAGTGCACAGTCATTGTAGGTACGACGGCTAATCAAAATGGTACTTACTTGCGCTTATCCGGATTGTTCAAACTGACTTAAAGATTACGTTCTCTTGCGCGAACTCATTCGGGAGTGGTGACTTTCCAC